AGATGGAGAAGCTTCATTTACTTCTGTCAGTAATGTTAGTTGGAGACAAGGTCGTCAACTTCTAAGGCAGTATGTATAAGAAATCTTTTAATTTTAGAGATTTTAAAATTTGTAATTGCTTACTAATATTAATATTAATATTTTTGCATTTTTTAATTTTATATTTAATTTTTATAGAAAGAGACAAAAAAAGAAAATTAGTATCTAATTCATAAAAAGATATTATAAATGTTTTTTTTTAGGTATTTGCAAGAGATTGGATATACTGACACAATAATAGATGTACGGTCAAACAGAGTACGATCTCTGCTTGGCTTAAACAATAACACAGACACAGAAGAGATGAATACTCCAGCGTTAAATGGAAATGAAGGAGTGACACAGGATAAGCAAGAATATAATGAAAGTCTCTTACTCCGAGGAAAACAACAGCGTCCTCCCAACAAAAAGGTAGAAATAAATATATATATTTATATTTTTTGAAATTTGAAATAAAAAAAACTTGAATTACATGAATGATAATTGGCAAATTGCATATATCTAATAAAAATTTTTAATGAAATTTGCAAGTTATAATGAAAGTTCAAAAAGTTAATGAAAATATCTTGTATGTAATTTCTATATAAGAAATGTGATATTTCAATTCTAGCAGCAGCCATCTTCTATAGCAGAGGCAATGATATTAGATACGGAAGCGGCTGTTATAGCGAATTTCGAATTTTTGCGTCACACAGATATGGACATGGAAGAAGAGGAAGGAGATGTAGAAGACGAAATTTACGATGCAAATACAGATACCAAACCAAATAAAGTAAATTTCCGCTACTACTTTATATATTTATTTTATAACATTTAATTTCGTCATATATTTATTTATGACATGTGTGTTTTATTAATATGATTTTTTCAAAGAATTTCTAGGATAAAAATTCAGAATAGAGGAGCATCCTCCAATGACCTTGACCTTGACATATGTTGTCAAGGTCATGATCTTGAGTGACCTCCAACAGGTTTCACTCGATCGCCTTTCGTTAAAAAGTTGTTAACACAAAAAGTTCTGCTATGAAAAACAAAGATTCTCTGCTTTAAAATAAATTTTCTGCTTTAAAAAGTTGTTAATAGTGAGGAAAAAAAGTTCAGCTATATAAGAAAAAAAATTCTGATTTAAAATAAAAAAAAAGAAAATCGCTTATTATTTATTATTATTTCATATGTACTTTGAGTATTTCTTTTTTAAATTAAAGATACATATTTATCTATGTACATTCTTTTTGCGACTTTCTACGCGAAGCGACTTTTTTTTATTTTAAAGCAGAGAATTTTTGTTTTATATAGCAGAACTTTTTTCTTGCCTCACTGTCAACAACTTTTTAAAGCAGGAAATTTATTTTAAAGTTGAGAATTTTTGTCTTATATAGCAGAACTTTTTTTTATCCTCACTGTTAACAACATCCTTTTAAGAGGATCTTAAAGCAAAGCTCGAACTCCGACGAAATCACTAGATGTCGCGCCGCGCGCCGCACATTGATATGTCTTTTTATACCACCACAGCAATATCTCACGCAGAGACTATGGGTGCGTTCCGTTTCTCGAATGATGCGCATAATGCGTCGTTTATCCTTGTTGCTCACCAAACGTTAAACAAGGACAATGGATGCATCATGCACATCATGCGCGATACGGAACGCACCATATGAAACACGCAGTCACACATACGTGCCAATTTTTGTACAACGAATTCGTCGCGATAAAGCGTCTAAATCTAATTCGAAGAACTCGACATTGTACGTTCGTGCAAATTACATATTTGGGAACTATTATTTCGTACATTCGGGTTGCAAAGCTTTCATATCAAGCAAATGTCACGACTTGACAGCTGAGACACCATGTTACACTAAGAAATGGTAAAAAATATATCGATTTCGAAATTTTTGATCATTCTCAACGCAGACTCCACTTCACAAACACGTATTAATGCATATACTTTAATCCTGGAAAAGGATTTTCGAATCCGTGAAAGAGAAAAAGAGTATTCGTTATACAAAAATTACGTGTTTAGTCAGTAATACAGACGTCTTTAGGATCCCCTTAAAGCAGGAAATTTATTTTAAAGCAGATAATTTTTGTTTTATATAGCAGAACTTTTTTTGTTAATGACTTTAACGAAAGGCGACCGACGGCTAAAACTTGTTGGAGGTCACTCAGGGTCATGACCTTGACAACATATGTCAAGGTCAAGGTCATTAGGGGATGCTCCCTTAATCTAAATTTTTAGCGTTTCTAGGACCGTACATATGAACATACAACAAGAAAGAAAAGAAAGCCTTTAACAGTCGAGCTGGACCTTAAATGCTTAAATAATTCTATGCGAATTTATATATTATCTATGTAGTTGTTTAAATTGCACACCAAATTAATTTTTCGGTCTTGAAGCGCAAACCGATTGAACTACAGTAGTAATGTCACAAATCAAATTGCTTAGCAAAAATCTGTAAATAATCTTATTGCGAAAAATATTACCTCGACCAGGGAACCCAAATCTCTAGCATTCTGTATGAGCGTTCCAAGTTTTTAGATCACTAAGGCGGATATATTATTTTTGTTTTTGTCTCTGCAGGCATCTATTCCTCTTCTAGCGGAGGATGTTGATACAGATGCAGAGGCAGAAGAAGTATTAAACGAATTAAACCTTCTCACAGAAATCGAAGAATCACCGCCTGGTTCTATTCATTTGGAAATGAATTCTTCAGAATGGAGTAAGTAATATCCATATTAATTTATACATTTTTAAAATGTTTCTATGTTTCAAAATGTAAATCTCTGTCACATACACCTACCATAATACTCATAATACAGAATGTGCTAAAATACGCAACTCAAAATATTATAGCAAGAAAATTTTCGAAAAATTACATAAAAAGATTATTTGTAAATTTTTATTTTAGATAGTAATTTTTGAAATAATAAGGATTTAAATATGATCAGTTATAAACTATGTTTAGGTAGCCACCTACCCATGAGTATGTTAGTGAATATTGATGAATGTGCACTTCAGCACACTATCTTATCTAAATGTAAAGTCTGTAATTGACATAGGTGCTTAAACTTTTATATCTCAGAAAGTATTCCTTAAAATAAAAATTTATAAATAACTTTTGTTTAATTTTTTAAAAACTTACTATAATATTTTGAGTCATTAATTTTGGGATACCTTGTATACTCGCAATGTAATATATTTATAATATTGTTACGGTTTACGATTTACTAATCTGATATCTTCCCTGAAGATGCAGCATTACATAGAGGATTGCAACCAGACCCGAGACGTCCAAATAAAGAAGGTGATTCTACATTGGAATTAGGAGAATTAGAACAATTATGTGTTAACAACGACGCAGAAATATCGTATGATGTAAGTTACCATAATCCTTCTTATATCGCACAAGATAATTCGATATAATTCATTTATTTTCGTAATGCTGTTGTTTTATCCAACAGATGGTTTCCACCACAAAAGAAACGTTCAGGAAAACATGGAATGCGAAATACACGTTACGATCGCACTTTGACGCTGTCAGGGCACTCGTCTTCCATCCCACAGATCCAGTCCTCATCACCGCGAGCGATGATCATACGCTAAAGTTGTGGAATCTTCATAAAACTGTACCAGCGAAAAAGTTCGTAAATTTCATATTTGGTCATGAGAATAACTGTTTAATTGCAATATTTTATTTTAAAGATATATGCTATATTTACACATACATTATGTTTATTATTATATCTTTTTTTATCATCTTGTAGGTCAGCCTCGTTAGATGTAGAACCACTTTACACATTTAGATCACACACTGGTCCTGTATTGTGTCTGGCCATGTGCAGTATGGGCAATCGATGTTACAGCGGTGGTTTAGACGGCAATATTCATTGCTGGACGCTTCCATCAGCTAACATTGATCCATACGACTCGTATGAACCAAGTGTCCTTAGTCATACATTAACAGGACATACGAATGCTGTTTGGGGCTTGAGCATGTATTTTCGTACCATGCTGTCGTTTAGTGCAGATGGAACTGTAAAATTGTGGGCCCCACAGACCCCACAACCTCTTCTTAATACGTATGTTTCAGAACAAGGTATGCAAACGTTATCTAACATTTTAAACAACAATTAGCGCTATTAGATCATGAATAGCAAGTAGTAAATTGTATGTTTAATCATGTTAAATTATAATATGGGACTTATGTCTCGAATTCGTACAGCTTTATCTAGCAAATATTGATCAAATGTAAGTTCCTCTCTGTGTTCTACATTTTAAAGTGATTATTTGCTATAATAGTTTCTTTTTTTTCTTTTATAGACGGTATACCAACTTCAGTTGATTTTATCAGGGACGACCCGCACAAGCTGGTCGTAGCTTATGAAGGAGCTTGCGTGGTATTTGATACTGAAACCGGCGCGATCGTGGCGCGACTTGAGGCGAACGAGACGAAAGGCGTGAATCGCGTAGTAGCACATCCTACGTTACCGCTCGTTGTAGCCGCACATGAAGATCGGCACATTCGATTTTACGATCACCGGTCAGCTACTCTTGCTCACGCAATGGTAGCGCATTTAGACGCAGTTACTAGTCTCGCTGTAGATCCTCATGGTTTATATTTACTTTCAGGAAGTAAGTAAGAGAGAAAACGTACTATGATTAATTTTATCGCGATAATTTTGTAGCGTAAAACTGTCAATCAGTTAAAAATAAAAAAATATATATTTTAATGTACTTCTTATTTATTGTTGCGCAGGTCATGATTGCAGTATAAGATTGTGGAACATGGATAACAAGACTTGTGTTCAGGAAATAACAGCACATCGGAAGAAATTTGATGAAAGCATTTTGGACGTAGCGTTCCACCCATCACGACCGTTTATAGCGAGCGCCGGTGCCGACGCTCTCGCCAAAGTGTTTGTGTGAAATGTGTAAAATCCAAGATACACTCGCTACATCAAAATAATTTCTACTATTACATCAAATCGAGCAGTTTTTGTATTCGTATTCATTTTAAATAGCTTTATATAACTTTATGTGTCTCCACCGTACATACGAAACATACACACACACACACACACACACAACACACACACTTCTGATATGTTTCTGTTGTAACTGATTGTTCTACCATTTTCGAGGTACCGATTTATAAAGAAATCAAATCGCTCGTGTAGTTATTCATAAAGAAAATGAAAAGAAATTATCAATAACTCTTGTCTGTGACAGTTATGGGGGAAAAATAATTTTAAATGATATAAACGCTGCTTGTTGATGTTCGATCATCATTAAGTAGCTGATAATCATTTGGAATAGCGGGAAGGGGTATCATGTAGAATATTAGCCGATATAGTCCTGATAATTAGAGGAACCAGCCCCTTACCCACAGAATCCAGGAAGTACACTGCCGCGGTAGCGTAATATTTATCCTTACGTTAACTATTTATTACCAATATCGCCGTTACTGTTGCACAGCTACTGGGTATATATATATATATATATATATATATATGCATAATTAGTCTCCCATTAAAGATAATTTTTTCCTGCTGCCTTATATATTCATCGAGGCTAGCACATAGTAATGATAATGATGATAATAATAATAATCGTAAGCTAAATAGACGTAATATTAATAACAATAAATTATAATTGTGTGTTTCTCTCTCTCTGTAATATATTGTATTTAAAAATAGATAACTGTGTAACGTATTATAATGAACATTTTTTTATTAAAATCTCATTCCACATTATTTTCTTATTTTACATTCCCAGACATCTGAATCGTTCTGAAGCCCTCTCTCCTCGCTCGTAGGCGAGTAAATCCATTTTCCATTTTCTGTGGTAAACAAACGGGGTCATCGCAGCGAGAGCGATTGATCATGTTCCTCGAGTGAAAAAAATTTTGCGATGTTTTTTTTCCAGGATGGCATGTGAAACTGGGCGCGTCTCTTAATATTATATGGGGTAGAAGATAATCCTTACGAATGGTTTTCTTTAATGAGTGCGAAATAAACTGCAGTATGAATTTGTAGAATTATTTTCCCATTATTTTCGGGACGGAGAACAATTCTACAAATTTACTTCACTCACCTTTCATTTTCCCATTTTGCGCATAATACTATCTTTCAGCGAACGCATCACGATTATTGCTATTTCAGAGAGAGAGAGAGAGAGAGTTTTTTGAGAGAGAGAGAGAGAGAGAGAGAGAGAGAGGAAAAAGAAAGCATTCTCCCATTCAGGCAGGCATGATCGTGTTAATCAGCTGAAGCTGAATACGATCAGCCATAGAACACAGACCGCGGGCGATCTCGTGATTCCCCGTGATCCGATCGAACCGAGGATACAAATCAAACCGAGAGCCGTCGATGATCCCGAGAGAAATGACAAAGTTTTCCGTAGATGCGTGCACGTCGTGCCAGGCATGAGAGCTGAGCGCTTACTTCAAGTTCCTCGAGTGATTTGTTCCACGCGCCTCGTAAGTGGTTAAGTCCTCTCTGCAGTCTCGTCCTCCCGTTTGCTTACGGAGGAAGCTCGGAGGAAGATAAGATCAATGAAACGACATGAGATTCTTGCGAAGTGTCGTCGACAATCGAAAAATAAAATCGTCTAATCCGTCAAATTCTCAGACAGGTTATGTGAGACTCGTGCGAGTTTATCACCCGGAGACGCGCAATCCGAGACGTACGTTCGCGTATTATGGTACGCCCCGGCCCTTCGTGAGCGTTCCAGTGGCCTAACGATGGAACGGAACGGTGCCAGAGAGATGGAGGAGCGCCGATGCATTCGAGATACTGGAAGAGCCCTGAAGAAGTACGGAAGCACAGCAAAGCATATGACGCGGACCGAGAGCTTGGTGAAGCACACAGTGTGCTCTACGGACACCCTTCAAGGAATAGCCCTTAAATACGGAGTTACGGTACGATTCATCCATGTGCATTGTCCTCTCATTTATTTGTCTCAATATGTTGTGTTCATTTGCTACAACAATGACACAATTCTATAACTACATATCATTATTTAGTTGCTTGTAGAAAAAGAATGAGAATGAAACGTTATATTATAAATGAATGTTGTGTCTCTTGTAAAAGAATCCCATAGAAAGTAAAGTTAGAGATGCTTAATACTTTTAAGACTTCCACAGATACTTTTTATATAGAAGCTATGTGTTTCATGGGTTATCTCTGTGTCCATATCTATTCTTGAAATGCCAACATTAGAGACATTTGTAATAAATTACATAGCGATAGGATTATTTGCATTAGATTAGTGCGTATTAAAGGATGTTATACATGAAATTAGCAAACTTAAATGTAAAAACATACAAACATTTTAAACGGTTAAATATCTAATAATGATATTGTATATTTAATAGAATATACATATTTTATTTTATTGTTAAAATTTATTAAATTTTACCACATTTAGATACTTTATATAAATCTGCTTTGACAGAAATTGGTATTTCTCCTCTTATTTGTGTTTAAACATTTCTTAATCTATTTCACCTAATGTAATTTATATAAACCCTTTAATATAAAGGAGTACACTTGCATTCCATACTTATGAAATAAATGAGAAAAAAATCTACAAGAAAAAAAAGAAGTTGCATAATACAGAGTATAACTTTTTTTAATTAAACAGAAACTCAATGCATAAATATTAACATTTGTAATAAAACTTTAAGAAATTCATTTTAGAAAATCTTATTAGAGCAAAAACTTGAGAGTCATTTTCCCCCCCCCCCCCCTGCAAATAATTCTGCCGATACCCATAGACACTTCATGGGTGTTAAATCCACGCTAATATTTTTTTAAATGTACTAATCTACTTATAGTATGAGTGATCAAATTCACTGAAACGATTGCATTGAGGATTATAATAAATAGCACAAAACTTAGATTACTTCCGTCTTGCCTTTCATAATTCTATTGAGCTTTAAACTTTATTGAGAAATAAAATATTTAAAGAAAAAATATATATGTTTTATATTTTTTTCTGATGTATATTAGTTTTTATTTTATTGATTTCCTTGGAGATAATATTTTAATCAATACTTTATTTGCTCCAGGTAAAAAAATGTTACCTCTAATGTAAAATTAACGTTTCTAATTCTTACAGACAGAACAAATAAGAAGGATTAATAGATTATGGGCATCGGATAGTTTATTTTTACGGGAACATTTGCTTATTCCTGTCAGCGCAGACAGTCCCGCCTCTATGTGCAACGACGAATCGGCAGCTTCTGAAGAGCATGATGTTCCTCCAAATGTAAGTAAAGTTTGGAATCATCAATAATTGTCATTTCATTCCTTGATACATATGTCTTATGAATATGTTGTATTTCATAGATATCTAGTCCTTCTTCGATATCGTCATCTATTGACGATGAAGGTTCAGTTAATGATTTCTTAGCTAAGATGGATAGCTCGATAGCCAATGCCAAGAGAGACGTCAAACGCACTCAAGGGAACAGTGAGTAAGTTATTTTCTATACCTTACATATATTCGATGAAACTTACATATTTTTAAGCATATGTTTTATACAAAAGGTGATGATTTAATAAAAATATGAAAGGCAAGCTTATAGAAAATAAAAATTTCTCTTGAAAATTGGTATTTATAGTTCTTATATTTAAGTACAGTCTTAAGATGTAATAAACCAATCACAGGCCGGTATTCATAGTTCGTTCTTACTTTAAGACCGTCTTAATTAAGGTATTAAGGTACTAATTCTTTAAATTCTAAATAATATCTTTACGTCTATAAATTATTTTTATAGATTTTGCACTGACGATAATGACGTTTACGTACAACGACGGCGTGGGTCTGCTAAATTGCGAAACTCATTTCCCACCACATCGAATACCTACTCAACGTCCTCCTCTGATTCCATCAGACCAGTGTCCTCTAGTGATATGCATAATTTTCCAACTGCTGTAGTTATGACGCAAGGAAGAAGAGTAAAGACTTCCTTGCAAAGACTTGAACAGCAGCAAGATGAGATGTTCCAGTTGTAGCGTCTAAGTTTCATTGGGCTGTAATATCCTGTGTGTCGATTGTTATTAAAAAGCTTGTAGGAAAGGATGTACTGTATATCAATGCGCGAATAGGAGGTTGCTTTTCATATCTGATGTTGGTTGATCCAATATCACTATATTACATATATAGTTTAATTATATTAAACTGCATTGCGCTCTCTTTTACATTGAAATATCATTCACGTATCCTCTAGTTGATCTAAGCAATATTCTTGTATAATAATGATTACACTATCGCCATATTCCGGTTTTACGACTTCTTCGTCATAATGATATCGTGAATGGATCAACTGACTTTTATATATACGTAGCGCTGAACTGTTTTACATAACATTGCTTAGTGGACCATATGTGCCTTGAATATAAAACTGTGTTATATAAGGGTCTCATTCATGCCCCATTTTTGTCTGTTTAAGTTATATAAAAATCTATATATATTGCTTTTCGAATACTTCACATTCTTTTTTTTTTTTTTGTTAAGTCACTGTGATGAATTACTTGAAAATTTGGTAAAACAAAAACAAATTTTAAGAAACTAATTATGTAGTGAAAATGAATAGTGCAAAACTATATATGAACAAAATATAGAATCTATTTATTTGAAACGCAACTTATTAAACTAATTGTTACACTTGTTAATAAAAATATATTTTATTTTCTCTCTTAGCAAACCCTATTATAAAAATTTTTTTCATAAGTGATAAAAAATATATCATGTATACAATATTTTTCTAATATTAAATATATATAAATGTTATCATTGTTTACAAGAATCCTAATAAAAATTATCATATCTAAAATTAAAGAAAAGGACAAAATGCACCTATTATTAAAACATGGATTAATTCTTTCAATTTATTCTTAGCTGGACTAAGCTTTCTTTGACTAATATTGAATTCATTGAAGTGTGATATTACTAGAGCACATTTTAAGTAACATCTAATGAATTTGAATGTTCATTATAATTATCACAAAAAGTCAGCGAATTTTTTTACAAAATATATATATTATGATACAAAAAGTCACACAGATCCAAATAAACTAAAAAAAATTCATATTTTAAAGTAACGTTACAAATAATATTATTTAATGTCGCACAAAGTGATGATTAAAACTAGAAATTATAATAACAGAGCAACTTAATTTATAATAACAACGCTTCCACCTAAACACAACTACACATTGATATACATTGTACATCAAATCGATATATTCAAATTTTATACATAATTTTAAAAAATCCTGTATTTTACACTGTACATATAGTAAATAGCAGCACTGGTTGACAATGTTGTCTATAGTTAATATATCATGCAATATTTTATATATATATATAGACATAATATACATAAGTTGGAAAAGCTTTAACTAAATGTAAATATAAATTAAATAAAAAAGATAAAAAGATCTAAGTAAAAGTTAAGATAGAAGTTTATGTGTAACTATATATAGTAGATTGTGTCATTATTCATCACATAAGCATAGTAAAAAATTAATTTATATATTAATCAAAATAAGTTATTATATGATTTACTTTACATAATATAAAAAAAAGATTTCTGCAAAAATATATTTTCCATGATTTCACAAGCGTTATGATGATAGTTCTTACAAATATATATTATAATAATATATACACACGAAACAGAAAATGTATACATAGAGAGAAAGTTCTGTCTGATTATTATTTTAATCTTTCATATAATATGTCTACTTTAGAGTTAACTATCCTTATGGGTGGCCTCACATATTTATCGCAGTAACATTTAAGCTCATTCACAAAGTTGAAAGATCCTAAGCGATTGTTGCAGTATGGACAATATAATTTTCCCTTGGTCCAAGATTCCTTAAAAAAAATTATTATCTTGATTCATATATAAATGTATTTTTAAAATTTTGATAAAGAAGATATACTTGATTGATAGCATCCATAATCCAATTTGGTGCATTCTCGGGAATCATATATGAGCAGCAATCGGATTCATCCACTTGGCATCCTATATCCATTTGTTGTTTTGGCTGATAATGTGCATTAAACAAAATAGAATCACCCTTGAAAAGCGATTTACAACAATGCTTGCATCTTACTTCCATTATACAAAGACAGTGACACGAAGAATATCTGAAGAATTATTATTATCGATTTCACTAAAAGTGATTGATGAGAATGTCATAAAATGTCAGATAAAAATAAAAAAATAAAATGATAAAAGCTATAAAAAACTGACAGTTACTTACCAAAGCTCATAAAGTGTGTTAATAACTCCGCTATATATAATTATTCTTTTATAATAAGTTTTTTTTAGAATATATATTATGATCAAAACGTATGTCTCTCGAAATCGCACTTCATATACAATTAAAGTAAAAAAGAATGAAATACAAAATCGCAGAAAACATCTAAATCAAAGCCTATGAACTTGTATTTAAGTTGCAATAGAAACATAACCTAAGCTAACCTATATACTCTAATATAGGCACATAGTTATATAATCTATATGTATCTAATATTGGCAGGGGTG